CAAAAATTGAAAATTCATTTATGGTATATTTTAGTGTTGAAAACATAAACACTAAGAAATACTTTTTACCAAATTTATAGCAGTTCCTCGTGGACACACTTTCGGATTTACAAATCTGGCCAGTCACTCAGCAGCCAAAGAGACGTTTATTGCGGCAATTTTCAGTTTTCTATTGGGACCAAATTCTGAATCAAATAACAATATGGCAGGACATGCATTCTTGTTGCTTTTCTGTTCCGTAATGAGCGCTTCCTAATGTTACTGGCAACGACGGGTTTGTTTTTGAACACTATACCCAAACCAAATTCCCCGCTCCAAGTTTGACGCTGCTAGGGGTTAATGGATTCTCCTCGTCCCGGCCGGGGCCCGCTGCTGCGCTGCTGCTGGAGCAGAAAGAAGCTGCTTGCGCTGCTGCCTCGTGGTTCACCTGAAGGGATGAAACTTTGTCCTGGGGCCGCGCCCGCCGCCCGCCTGGCCCGAGTTGAGCCGCGTTATCGGGAGCGCTTTCGCTCGCTTGTGTTTTCCCGCCCGCTGGAGGAGCAGCTGCAGGCGGTCGGTGGAGGCTCCAGCAGCAGCCCGTCTGCGCTCCGGCAGACGAGCGTGTCGCTGTGGGGTCCTTCACCATTCGGTACACTGCTTATACCCAGACAGAACACTGTTTTCATTTGGCGAAAATTATCCGGACAATCTCCGAGCTGCTAGAGAGGATAAGGAGAGGGAAGTGGGAAGTGGAAGGAGGAGGGGGTTCTGTATGCGGAAGTTTGCAAACCACTGTAATCTGGTTGGCGTCTTATGACGCCAAAACTGAGAAGAACGCCAACCAGTGACGTTGAGTAATTCGCTTGACATTACACCGAGACTGTAAAAAATATATCCGTACGCATACTTTTAATATTTTGTGACTTTGCTATTCAAAAAATGTGTCGTACAAGTACAACCTCCCATCAAGCTTCTACTCTTGGTCGTATTTCGATTTAATTAATCCCGATGACTATACCAACATTTAACAAACGATTGGCAACTTTTTTCTCGACCCGGTTGGTTTGGGTCGGCTAGGTTCACGTAGGTCTTTTTAACACATACAATTTTTCTGCGTCCGGTACGACAGATTTTTTGACAGTTTGAGTTACTAATGCGATATACGTTAGCGTTGAAAACAACGTTTTCGCGCCTCCGTTAATCGTTGGGTTTGCGTTAATAACACTTTTCTCGGATGACCCACATCCGCTGCTGCTGACCGTAGAGAAAAGGAGAGGGGGGGGGGGCTGGCTTTTTCCTCCCGTCGCCTCCGTCGTACCCGTTCCATCAACGACGCGAGAACTAATGGAACCAATCCGAGCCGAGCGCGCGCGCGTGTGTGTGGTGGTGTGCGTGACAGAGAGAGCGAAGAGAGGGAGAGAGGGAGAGAGATTCGGGCTTGCGTCGTGTGTACACAGTCTGCGACGACGGGGAAAAGGTTCGTGCTGGTTGGGGGGGG